TTTTTTATTTATCTTCGAATAAATATTATTAAATACATTAAAAGTGGAGTTTTTCAACTTCACAAGTGAAATTAAAAAGATAACATAAGCCTCTTAAGGTATATTTAAAAAAAATTAATAAAAAATAAAAATGAGATATGTGCCAATATCTTAATACTGCTTATAAAATTAAAAATTTATCCTAACAATATATTAAATACTAATTTATCATCTAAAAACATTTTATGACATGCAAAAGGAGGAAAATTCCTAAATTAATTGTGCATCTATCTTCTCTGTAACATATTACTTTTAGCATTTCAGTGAACTCCATTCTTATTGGATCTCGTCCTTCTCTTGCATAGTGAAAATGAAAATAAAAATTGTTGATAGCAAGAAAAAAAAGACTTTAAATTAAAAATATCATCCGAAAAAAGAAAATTGTAGAGATGCAAAATAAAAGGAAATCTTGTAGAAAAAAAAAAAAAACCTTCACCAATACTTTATCTATCATCTTTGAACAACTCTATTTATAATTTTAATTTGAGTATAAATTTTTGTTTATGCGTTGCTAAGGTATTTTTTTATTAAAATAAATAAATATATTTTTTAATGTTGAAAATTACTTATATTTTTTCTTATGTATTAAAGCTTGTTAATATCAATATAATCAAATTTTGTGAACATTTATAATTTTCATTGAAAAAATAATTAATATTAAAGACATAATATTAAAAAAAGCAATTATTTTTAAATTACAAAACAATCTTATTCAAAGGATTTTATATAAAATCTTCAATAGAATAACTAAAATAAGTAAATGAATATATTATTATAATTGTTTAAGTGCTATTAACCTTTATTGTTTAGTTTATATAATAATAAATAATAAATACAAATCAAAACTATGAAAGTTTTAAAATACCTTTTAAATTAAAAATTAAAAAAATTAGTGTGTCATGTCAAAATATAGTAAACACAAATGTCAACTACACATATTATGTCTTTTGGTTGGCTAAATGCTTAAATTACAATTAAATATTTAGGTGATTGCTTAATTCATGATTAAACGTATTAATTTACATAAATAAAATTAAATGTTATTGATTTGTAATAATGTAAAACTTTTTTCAATAAAAAATTTACTATGAAAAATATGCGCCATTAAATTTAAAAATTACTACAAATAAAAATAACATAAAATTAAGCTTTTAATCCTTGAATGACAGATAAAATGAATTTTGTCTTTTTTTTTTTTTTAAGTCTATTTCATTTCATTTCTCTTATTCTTTACGAATTGAAGTCTGCAAATCTACAAACGATTAAGTTTCTCTTCTTATTCTATCTAAATTTTATGTTTTTTTTCTTTTCTCTCAACTTTTTTTTTCACACCAAAAGAAAAGTCAATGTTGTCCTTTCTCCCTCCTTTGCCCATGTTTCTTTTCTGCCTAATTTGTTTAAGAAAATGTGGAATTAAAAGTTGGGTGTTTGAAAGTTTATAGATTGATTTTAGGCTACTGAACATGACTGATGACTAGGATTTTATGTAATGGTGAGGTATTGTATTTTTGCTACAATACCATCACCGATACAACAAGAAATAATCTGCCAAGCAAAGAATTCACAAATGAAAATAATAGCAGTTTAGCATGAGGACCCTTTAATTTGCTTGGCTTCTTTGATGTTTAAGATAGTAGCTAAACTGTTTTCATGTCCTAATCTTTCACAGCTTAGAAAAAGTAGTTTTTTGAGAGATTCTTGCAAACCTTTTTTTGTTTTATGCTAACCCCACCACCATCAGTACTAACTAAGATATAGATTTCAGCTCTTCAAGTTTTGTTTTTGGAGGTTTTAGTAACCAACTTCATTAACATTAAAGCTTATTACAGCAGTAGGATAGTAGCAAGAATTTAAGTTTTGAGGATGGGTTGAAAATGATTTTTGAAGAGAAGAAAAGAAAAACTAATTGCTGTTTTTGAGAGAAAAAGGAAGAATAGGTCTATCTCATGTGCCATTCTTTTACATAATCACCGTGAAAAAGTCAACTCATCTCAACTTTATCTATTATTTATGTATAACTTTATTTATAATTTTAATTTGAGTATAAATTTTTGTTTGTGTGTTGTTACGGTATATTTTTTATTAAAATAAATTAATATATTTTTTAATGTTGAAATTGACTTATATTTTTTTATGTATTAAAGCGTGTTAATATCAATATAATCAAATTTTGTGAACATTTATAATTTTCATTGAAAAAGATAATTAATATTAAAGACATAATATTAAAAAAACAATTATTTTTAAATAAAAACCAATCTTATTCAAAGGATTTTATATAAAATATTTCATAGAATAACTAAAATAAGTAAATGAATATATTATTATGACCAACAAACGGTTAGTTCAATCGGTTAAGTTTGTCATCCTCAACGAAAATATCTTGAATTTGACTCATATCGATAATTATTTATTGGAGTTATCTTGAATGCACGATTTGTAATCACTTATCTTAGGCTGAGCAATTTATTTATCTTAAACTTTTTTATAAAAAAATATATATTATTATAATTATTTAAGTGCTATTAACTTTTATTGTTTGGTATAAATAATAATAATAAATATAAATCAAAACTATGAAAGTTTTAAAATGCCTTTTAAATTAAAAAAAAATAAAAAAATTAGTGTGTCATGTCAAAAAATAGTAAACACAAATTGCAACTACACGTGTTATGCCGTTTGGTTTTATAATGTTATAAAATTTTATTTAATTTAAAAAAACTAAATATTAAAGCAATTGTATATAATATATGATTTTTTCTTAACTTATTTTTTAAAAAAAATTTATAAAATATTTAAGAGAAAAAGGAAGAAAAGATAAATAATCACTCTATGCACTTAAGATTTTAAATTTTTTTTTTTTCAAAACACATTAAATATGTGATCAGATTTTATACTTTGTCGATCAATCACGTTTAGACCACTATGATCCTTAAATCACTCCAACCCAAAGTGCGGCATCTTTTTTTTTTTTTTTTCCTTTTATTTTCTCTCTTATAAAAAATTCTATACAAAAGAAATTTGAAATATAAAAAATACCTAACAACCCTAAAACCGACTTATTAAAATTACAAAAATATCCATAACAAATTAAAATTTCCTATCATAACGATATTTCTAACCATATGTTATTGTCTATTCTACACATATTAATTTCTAATAATTGTTAAGTTAAAGTGATTTTTATTAATTTGTATTGCACGTATATTGTATAAGAATAATTTAATATATAAATATTATAATTTTTATATTAAAATTTTATTTTTTTAACAACTGAAAAAAAAATTATATTGTTAACCCTCTAACAACTCAAAAAAGTTTAATAAAAAAGTTTAATTTGATATCTTATGAATATTGATACTTATTCATATTATAGCTTCAAACCCAATTATAAATCCTAATTTTTATCATAAAATTTCACTATTGTATGTTTGAAAAGAGGATTTGAAAGAGTGTATTTGGATATAACAAAGAAAAAATAAATTTCAAAATATCAAAATTTTATAATTATTTCAAATTCACCACTAAATAGGGATTCAACAAATCCATAAATTTAAGAATATTCACAAACGTCATCTTTATATGTGTTTTATCACATAATTTATGTTAAATTTCAAATCAAAACCTCTTTGCTTAAATTTAAGCTTCCTGTCTGTATTTTTTCTGCAAATCGTTCTCAAATTAAAGTTCTGTTTGATAAATTCAAAAAATTAAGTACTGAATTTTTAATACTAAATTTAATAATTATTGAATTTAAATTATAAAAATTGTTCAGTATTTTACTAAAAACTAAATGTTGAATATAAATATATTGTTTTATAACTATAAAATATTGAATTCTGAAAATATATTATTTTATCTTTATTTTCATTGTAGGTAATAAAATAGTATTTTAGGAGATAATAATTCAAAAAAAAATTTACTGAACATTTTCTGCATTAAGTGATAATTAGGTATATATCTATTTATCTTATTAACACTATTGGATTGACAATTTTTTTTTATATGGATTTTAAGATGTGTTATCAAACGTTTTAAAAAAAATTAAAGTGTTAGAAAATTTTCATTTCTTCATTTTCAAGGTAATAAAAGTTTTTAATGGCTTATCAAACAAAGCCTAAGTTAAAGCCATATAAGCTTTTTATATGATGTAATGGGTTTTTTTTTTTAAATGTAAATAAAGAAATTTCGATTATGAAATGCATATGTAACTAAACTATTTTTATTTCCGAGGAATATGATAATTTTTTACTGTAGCCTCTGTAAGAAATGATTTGCAGATAAAGCTGCTCACATTGATTGTGATACAAAATACAATTGACGTCAGCATTGACGTCAGCATGCATTTGTAACTTATACTATTGCTCTTTACTATTTCTAAAAGTGATTTTCAGAGTAAGTTAAAAAGATTAGATTCTAGTTTGATTTGAAACATACATTAATTTATTCATTCATAGATTTTGTCTGTGTAAAAATAATAGTACTATGCTTTTTATATTTCTAGAAAGTGATGTGTTGATTTAAGTTGCTGCAAATAATTGTATGAAGGGGAATCACACTGAGTGTCACATTTATATTAAATTGTATGATATTGTTTTATTTCAATTCATTGGATCTTACGATTTTATTTCATAAAAAATATCTCAAAAGTTACAAATTATATCTCCAATTCAGCTTTAATATATAGCGTAAGATTTATTACTCTTCTTTAAGATCACAACACTCGGCTTGTGCAGGTGCACTGCACTTGTAGCTAGTGACTTTTATGAGTTTAGACCAGGTTTAGTGCATAACCTTTAAGCAATCATGTAAAGAGTGAACAAACCTATGTTGTTCACTAAACAAAACTTTCATCTCTCACTTTCTCATACAGAACAGCACACCCAAGGTCCAATAAGATTTTCAAATTGAATATAGAAACTCTCAAACAATTTTTGATCCTAAGACAGGATAGATTTGAAGCAAAGCATTGTGTCAATGGAAAAACATACAGCAAATTCCATAACTGAGAGAAATTGACATTCAGGTAGCTGCAAATGCAATCTTGGAAATATGAGGTTTGATCTAATTACAAGAGATATCTCAATTACAATACTAAGATCGCAAGGAATGATCTCACATTCATGGTTAGCCCTTTAGTGTAAGGTTTTGAAGAAAAGGAAATTGGTTTACCTCCTCCAGTCCTTCTGTCTCTAGCAAATTCCAGATCCCCAAAATTATACAACAAGCCTGAAATATTGTCTTCACACAATCGCAGATACAACAGTGGCATCCCAACGTCTGTTTGATTTGATAGTTGAGCCAATTGACTATGGATCATCTACACCTCTGTTTGCCAGTATTCAAAGGAGAATCTCTGATGCTTTTGGATTGAGCATTGGAGACTTGATGAGATCCCTCCAGCCTCTGCTTACGTCTCCCTTGTTGAGATAGACGAGAGTGATAGGATAAGATAGCAAGATCGTTAAGATCTTGCAATGGAGTGAGAACTTTCACTACTTCATCCATAGTAGGACGGGATTTTGGGTCCCTATGGAGGCAGCTGTATGCTAATTGAGAAACTTTCTGCACCCCTTTAAGAGAATAATTCAGCTCCAAGCGGGGATCCACCAGTTGGTAAAGTTTTCTCTTGTCAGCTAAATATGGCCGAGCCCAAGCAACAAGATTCTGCTCTCCACTAGGACGCTTCTTGTCCATTGATCTTCGGCCTGTCAAAATCTCAAGTAATACAACACCAAAGCTGTAGACATCACTCTTAGATGTCAAGTGTCCTGAGAAAAATATCCAAAGTTGTACATATTATCAGTTCTCCAGATTTTTGCAAGGTGGAGAAAGCTTGAGCAACAAACAGGCGCAGAAGCAATTAAAATATGGTTTGCAAATCAGGAACAATCAGTGCCAAATAACACCATAACAATGGATCAGCATGAACTATTAAGTTTGATATGGATGCTTCCATATCTTTGACACATCCTCCGAACTAACAGACTTGAATCAGATAGCTCAAGATCATTGATTAGGAATTTTTGGTTAAAGCAATATAGAGTACACTGAGTAACAGAAATTATTTCTCAACTTATAAAGGGAAATGCTCTTGCAGATGTGTAACATATTTAGTGTACTACCTACTCTAGGATTTTGGTGATTCCATACTCTGTTTACTTCATGGTACTTAAAATCAAGTTCTTTAAGCAATTCGATAGTAGAAGTGAATTTCATTATAGAATGATGGCTTAGTGATTTCAGCAGTACCTTAGTTGTTGTATGACCATCTGGGTTTTGTTTCCAGTTCTGCCACTGATATTTTGTATAAAAGGTATCTCTAATGGTAATTGAAATCAGAACTATATATCTGACTTGCTTTTAACAATCAGCAACATTTACGGTCCAAGACCAAATCAGACACCTCCTTGTCTGAGGAATCTGATGTCATTCCTACTGCTTTATTGTAGACATTTAAATTCGTTTTAGAGATTGTTTGGTATAGTGGTACAATGCCGCAGAATCCCACCACACTGCACCCCCTAAAACGCTTAAGGTTGAATCAAATTTCCCTTAGTGAAAGGGTATATAACACTGAAGCATTAAGCTTTTAATTAGTTCAGATCATCTTGGACAATTTTAATACCTGTCATAACATACTCTGGTGCAGCATAGCCATAGGTTCCAACAACCCTAGTAGAAACATGTGTTTTGTCTCCTTGAGGACCAGCCTTTGCTAGACCAAAATCTGAAAGCTTTGCGTTATATTCCTGCAAAAGTAATTCCATATGAATGATTCCATAAAACAAAGGATATTTTCAACGGATTGATATAATCACCTAAATTTACACCATCAACCTACATACCGAATCAAGTAAAATGTTGGATGTTTTAAAATCTCTATAAATGACTGGTTCTGGACCACCATGGAGAAAGGCCAATCCTTTTGCTGCTCCAAGTGCAATCTTAATCCTATTTGTCCATGGAAGAGGTATTGTCCCTTCACAAAATTAGGCAACAAGGCAACATCAGAATATCTTTCGTGTGAAATTCTACAACTATGCAAAAACGGAAATTCCTGAAACTGTTTATCAAAAGTTACAAAGAATGCATCAGCTACTCAGGTGCATGTGCATCCAGAAAAATCATTTGTTTTAAATACCAAGGACAGAAATTTATCAGTGGTACAGCGTGTATGTTCACAGTACATTGAAAAATGTAGACTAGCTTCATCTCTTGAGAATTAACTACATTAAATTTTTGTTTTTTCGTCAATAAGGTCTATTTTAAGACCGCAAAACATTTCCTGAGGGTTGAAATAAGAAAATAAATTAAAAATGGCAAAAACTTTTTATGCAAAATCAATTTGTACTGTAACAATGCCTTTACAAGAATAAGAAAGAAGTACATGGGAGGAAGCTTATTAAGGACAATGAAAGCAATATTTCTGGCTTTATAAATGAAACTTAATGGGATGCCTCTACCAAGTTCCCTCAAGAGGGAGTCCTATTAATAAGAAGGTAAAATGCTAACCAACAGGGTAACAGTCCATGAGGACCACTTCAACAGAGGATTTTAACTTAAAATATCAAATTGGAGATTAAAAAAAAATTGAACCTGAATTGGAAGGACAGAAGGAAAGAAAATAGTGAGACTCACTTCTAAAAAGATGGTTTTCAAGACTTCCTCGGGTCATAAATTCATATACAAGCAGCCGTTGATCATCTTCAATGCAGTAACCAATAAGTTTAACAAGATTTGGATGATGAAGTTGTCCTAGGAAATCAACCTCAGCCTGCGTGAAAAAGAATCATCCAATGTTACACTCCCATGTTTCAGCAACTTAATACCTATAGCCTCTTCAACATTGAATCTACTAACCCAAAGCATATATTTTTCTACTAACCACCCATTCTCTATGGCCTTGAAGACCATCTGGCTTCAAACTCTTGACAGCAACTGTAATCCCTGAACCTGGTTTCGCCGGTGCTGTCCCATTTTCCTCTATCCACCCCTTGAAGACATAGCCAAAACCACCTTCACCAAGAATGCTGTCAGGTCTAAAGTTTCCTGTTGCAGATTTTAGCTCCTGAAAAGTAAATTGGAGAAGCTGGCATGGAGATTTGTTATCTGATGTTAGTGGATCAGGATTATCAGATGAAAGATGAGCTTCATTTGGAGGGCACAGCTCTCTATTACTAGCATTTAGATATCTTGTCTCAGTAGCTGCATACAGAGATTGAGAATAAGTTGTCTTCCCGTAATCATAACTCCATAACAGCTAAAGGAATAAAATCAATTCCATTTCATTTCAGGTTGTGACTTGATACTAAGTAAAGAGTAAAGACTACAATTCTTTTGTCAGTAGAGAGTCTTTCAATGAAGATCTTAATTGCAATGAATTATCTAAGCAAGCCCACATCTTGATTAGAATTTGGTAAATTGTCAGATATTAAGTGGAACAAATCAATCCCCATTCCTGTTCAGTAAAAAGACAGTGCCATGATTTTTAATAACCAAGTGAAAATGATATCAGCTGACAATAGATTAAAAAAAAAAAAAAAAAAACAATTGACATTCACTGCCCGAAGATGCCAGCTGAGGTCGTTTAGAAAACCCATTTTTAAACTCCTAGATTCCAAAAAAAAAAAAAAAATTTGCAAGAATCAGAAAAAAATTTTTGTGATCTGTAGACCAAAAATTTCCCACCCTGATATTGATTACTGAACTCAAAATTTCGAAACTTTATAGAAAAAAGAAGAAAAAAATCACAAAAGCAACATTGGATTAGTAATCAGCTGCAAAGTAAGAAACAGTGAAAGGAAGAAAACAGGAAGTATAAAACATTAAAAAAAAAAAAAAGAACAACAAGAAGAAACAACTGGGAAGAGAAAAAAAAAAAAAAAACCCACTAGTAGTTTCAAAACAAAAAGCCAAAAACTAAAGAGAATGAGACATATATTAATTATAATAATAAAAAAACGAAACAAAGAAAATACCAGCATCATAAACAAGACTTGTACGAGGAATTGTGCTAGCAGAGTCACGAGAAGAGGAGGACTTGCAAACGCCGCGTTTCAAGACAGCCCAACAGCCACAGTTGTTGTCATCCATGGAGAACAATTAGGAAGAGAAAGTGTTAGTTGGTCAGTACTTAAAAAAATAAAAAATAAAGGACTCCTATATTTCTCAAGGGATGTTACAATAATCGCATGAAAAGAACAAGGAGAAGAAGAAGAGATTGGCCATGGAAAGAAAGGAAATAAAAAAGAGAGGAAAGCAAGAAGAAAAGAGAGAGAGAGAGAGAGAAACGAGACGAGCGTTGTTGGTGTAGGAGATTGCAGGCATCATCATCACCATCATCGCATACAAAAAGAACTTTTTTCCCACTACCTTTTTTTGTGGGGATCGCTATTGCGTCCATCTACCCTTTCTGATTCTCTCTCTCTTTTCATTGTTCTTTTATATATAAATATATTTTTGTTTTAATGGTAAGATTAAATAAGAAAAAAAAAATTGCACACAGGCACAAAAAAGCCAATGAAAATGTCGGAAAAATATTTATTTTTTTACTTTGTTTGGAGAATAACAGTTGATTTTCTAAGGATATATCAACCGTTAACTTGAAACTTCACTCCAAAGTTTTAAAGTGAAAATAATTTTTTTTATAAAAAAAAATTTAAGATAGATGAATTATTTAATATTTTAAATTAAAATAAGATATATCATACTTGATAATAATTGATAATATAATAAGTGATTGTATAATCGATATAATTTCAACAAATAACTATCAACAAGACTCGAACATAAAATTTCTTCGTCGACGAAAATAAATTTTAACTGATTAAATCAATCACTTATTAATAAGTGAAAACTTTTATACATAACTAAAATTTTACCATTCTATTGATGTGAATACTTCAATTTTATTATTAATGTTTTAATTTATATAAATTTACGATCATACTTTTAACTTTAAAATAAATTTACTATTATATTTTTAATTTTGAAATAAATTTGATTAGAATAGAACAATTAGTAAATATTTCATAAAATATTTGTTAGAAGTTATTTTATAATTAGGGGAAAATTTTGAAAACTACAAGATAAGAAAAAAAAAATGGCCATGAAGCTCAAATTCGAATTTATTTTATTTTATTTTATATATTTTTTACTAAATATAATACTAAATCATGACATTTTTATTTGAAATCATAAGTATAATGATTAAATTTATTTAAAATTAAAAATATGATGATAAATTTAAATTTTGAAAAATAATTTTAAAATTTTAAAACAACTTCTAACAAAATATTTTGTGAAACTTTCCTCAACTATTGCATCCTAATCGAATTTATCCCAAAATTAAAACTATTACCTGTTACAATGATCCAATTCCCAAATGGATAACACTCACATCGTAATTATTTATATCTAAAACTACTAATCTTGACATCGAATCAAAATGAGAGATGAAAAAGAATAATTTTGTCTTAAAAGCTTAGTTATTAAAAATGATATAACCGAGGTTTTTAGAAATATCAAAGTAACAAATGTAGTATAAACAACATTTTATAAGCGTAATAAAACTTAATAAAATCTTTAGGTAATCTCCCATTAGTTTTACTATTATGTATGAGCATTTGAGAATATTACAAATTGAATTACAGTTACTCAAATTAAGAATTTAGTATTTTATTAAAAGGTCATGTGGTTGATGACTAATTTTATTATATATAATTTTAACGAGTTTAAATAAGTTATAAGGGTAATAATTATTCAGATCGGATGGATTTGATTTAATTTTTTAAAATAATATATGATATTATAAATTTTTAAAATTTGATTCAAATTTGAATTGATATTTTTTTGAATTTAATTCAAATTGAATTTTACTGATTTAATTTGATTCATCGATTTTTGAAAAAGTTTTTTTATATATTATTTAATATAATTTTTAATATTTTAAAATATATTTATATATAAAATAATTATTTTATTTTATAACAATTTAAAAAATATTAAAACTAATAAAAATATGTAATTCAATTCAGTTTTTTTTTATTTTATTTCTTAATTTGAACATCATATATTTTTAATATGCCAGTTTAATCTAAATCAAATAAATAAAAATTAATAAAAATCGAACTAAATATTATAATTTCAAATCAATTTTAATTTTTTTTCATCCCACAATATATCAATCTAAATATTTTATTATATATTATGGCAACTGTCCTAATATATTAAGAAGAAAAACACTTACGCTAGTGCAAAACTAAGATATTCATCCAACAGTTGAGTTTAAGTGTAAAACACTAAACCATTTAATTAAAAATAGTAAACGAAGCCATTTAATCTCAAAAGTGGAATGAATGTCCATCAATGACGAGAAAAAAATGTAAATCTCTTTAGTTTATGTTAAAAATATCATGATTATAAAAGATTCTTAAACAAGGATATTGACATTGATCAACCAACAACTTTCAATGTTCAATCTTTATTTTTCACATTACGATGATCATTTAATTTCTTAAAAGGAATCTAGTGTACTTTAATAATTTGATCTATTAATTTGCCATCCCCTGTTATATGGAAAAAAATTTTAAATAGATTCTTCTTTCTTAGCAAAATTAATGTCATTAATTTCTTGAAGCAAATTCAAATAATTGTCACAAAAAAAAAAAGTAATGACTTCTAAAGCAAATTTAAATACTCGAAGCATATTTGTGTTGGTCTAAAAACTTATAATCCAATCACATCAACAGAAACAAAATCAAACAATAAATTAAATATACAAAAGATAATAATTTAACGCGATTCGATCTAATTGACTTACATACACGGATGAGAAACAAGATCTATTAGTTGTAGAAAATTACAAACATATATTAAATCATCAACTTCACTCAACAATCAATACTCATAAGACATTCACAATCTCTTCTAATCTTATGGAGTATTCTCAACCCAAATAAACATAAACCCAAATCTTTGTGTACCCTTTTAATATAACCAAACACATACCCATATACTCACATATATCATGCCTATGTGGACTCTTTCAGTCTCTTCTAGTCCACTCACAAATAAACATATACACCCATAAGACGTAAAGCCCCAATACTTCTATGGAGTGTTTATCCCACAAAATCATATAACTCTCTTACATATTTTTCTCATACTTAACAATGTTGACGCTTCACCTATTTATAACTATACAAACTTGTCCATTAAAAATCTTTATCATCTTATAATTTTTCTCCTGTAAATCAAACTTGCCTATTAAGAATCATTTTCCTTTTAAAATTATTCTCTTACAAGTCAAATTTATCTATTAAGAATCATATTTTTCTTAAAATTTTTCTTTTACAAATTTTCTTATGCATAAATAATATCTGACAAATCTCAAATAAATTTCTTATGAGATTTGAGTCAATATTCCTAACACTTTATGTATACCTAATTTATGGACTTCTTAAATAGCTATCATGCAATGACATTTCTCTTGAAAATATAAAGAAACATTTTTGTTATATATATATATAACAAATGTTCTTATCTCTAAAATGTCTTTTTAAGGAAAACACCATTTTCTTTTATAGTTTTAATTTTTATCATGTATACTGTCATAAAAAATTATGAACATCAAATCTTAAATTCATCAAATAATTCTAAATATTAGAGTAAACTACAAGTTTAGTTGTTAAAATTAATTTTTATGAATTTTTATTTTAGTCATTCAACTATAAAAAGTCTAGTAGACTAACGGTTTGCTTTGCTAATATGGTGGTATCATGTTGTAAGACATTTGTTGCGTAATATTATTACATCATCTAATATGTCACGAAATATCATCGGTATGGTATTAGAAATTTTAAAATTTTTTAAATTTGCGAAAAACTAAATTACAAATTTGATCACTTAAATTTTTTTTGAGAATTTTTATTTTAGTCTCTTAATTTTGAAAATTTCAAAACTTAATTACAAGTATTTATGAAATTTAATATAATAAATTGTTTTATTATTTTTGTTTCTTATATCAAAATATTTGTTGAGATAATTAAGACCTTAAATTTTATAAAAAAAATAAAAATAAGCTTTTGATATTTTATTATATGAAATTAAAATTACAAACTTTTATTTTATTATAGTTAAAACCTTAACATTGTGAAATATTTTATATTTTATTAAAATATTTTTAATTAGCTAATTTAATTTATAAAAATATTTAATTTAATTTATTTGGATAGGTTGAATAAAAGATAAATACTTGAAATAATGCTCTTTTAATAATTATAAGAATTAGATTTATTCACCATTTTTTAAAATTTAACAGATATAATTATTCATAATTTTAATTTTCATGTAATAAAAGGCTGAGGGTTTACATTTTTTTATAAAATTCAAAAGTTCATTTGAATATTATCTCAAGATGTTTTAATATAGATAATAGAAATAATTTATTATATTAAATTTCATAAAAATTGATGATAAAAAAACACATAACAAATATGAGGTTGATAATAAAAATAAAAATTTTAATAAATTTATATACATCAATGACCAAAATGCTAATTATTTAAATTAAGTGATCAAAATAAAATTTTTAACCGTTATTAAGTGACAAATATTGTAATTTGTCTTATTAATATCTAATTTTCTTTTCAAAATTTATAACACTATATTGATAGTCTTATATTAAACGATGTGATAATATCACATGATAAATGTAAAAAATGATGTGACAATTATATATATTTTATCACATCAGCCAATACTTAGTTTGTACCGTTGGTGATCAAAAATTAATTTATTAAAATATCAGTAATCAAATCATAACTTTTCATAATTAAGTGAAAAAAAAAAGTAACACAATTTTAATGACTAAACATATAGTTTACCCTAAATATTTTACCATCCAATTTATGTAAAAAGACCTGTAATTATTTTCCACTTAAGTAAAATAGATTATTTTCACAAAAAATCTCCTTCATTCAGGAATTACCTTATCTGACTTCTTTAAAAAAAAAAAGGAAGGGGCGCTTTGATGAACTAAAAGAAAATCTCCTTTTTAAAGGGTAATTAGTTAAAATGCAACCCTTTTTTTTTTTTTTGTGGCGGGAAATGTAGGTAGAAACAGTAGACAACTAAATATCCATTAGCCACTAACTCTTTCGTTTAAGCGAATGGAGTTTTTCACTTTCTTCCTTGGCTGTCTCTTTCTTACCCACATCAAGTTAATCTAGCACCTTGCCTACCCTAAGCATTAGCTGCCTAAAAAAATCTTTTGCTCACATGGAGATTGGAATACGTAAGATCTTGTTCCCAAAAAGGGGTCAAAACAAGTTTTTTTTTTTTTTTCCGCACTAGTTAACCAATTCCTGGTCTGTGTTATTATTGTCTGGTCAAAACTAATAGAAAGATAGTCAAGAGCATATTTGAGTGTAATCTCATCACTCACAATTCTCTCTCTTTCTTTGGGGCAAACTGGATATACTCATATATTTAAAGAGGGAAATGGGATGGCAAGTCTCTTATAGGTGGGTTTCTTCTATTCAAAAGGGTTTTGGGTTTTTTTTTTTTTGAGAAAAGGGGAATTTGATAGAGTGGGGGAAAGGTGGGGAAGCTTGGTAAGAGGTCATTTCATCAACAACTAACATAAACAAAATGGTATTCTATGATGCTTTGGGTGAGAGAAAAGCAAAATTTAGAGATGAGATGAGACCCCTATTCTTTTTTTTTTTCCTATCCTGTGTTTTGCAAATTGACAAGATCCGTTGTTGGAAAGGAGGGATACCCATTGCCCCCACTAAGCAAATGGGTCCAATCTCTGGACGCCACCAATACATCTAGGGTGAGAATAGTTGTGAAAGACTAACCAGTGTAGTCCACTCGAGGTCGACCTATTGGGCAAATAATATATCCTATTTTGGTTGCTATAAAGTTGCTCGGTCGTATAATTGGTGTCTCCAGGTGTGAAAGATTTTTAACAGAGGTTTTACAGTAAACTTGGACTATTCTCTATTCAAATTGATACTATATATTTTTTTTCTAATTTTAAATTTATTAAATATTATTTTTAAAAATAATATATGAATTCATTAAATTAAATTTTAATTTTAACATAAAAATTTTGTTGGAAATATTTCATGCACTTTTTTAAATTTGGGTCTAGCCATTTAGGGATCTGACATCAAAGATTACTAGATTTTGGGCATCATCTTCCAGGGACCAACAGATTGATAAAATCAAAAGCTTCTGATTTAGGGACCAACATAATATCTAAGCTTACATATTGAAGCTTCAATATTAAAAACAAAAAATGCCTTCCTTTTTTTGGCTGATAAAGAATACCAGAGGTGAACCACTTGTGCAGCATGGTTCGTTGTTAGGTGTCATCATCATGATGGTTTGAACAATTTATTTTATGAACTCTTCTTGGTGGGAAGATTGATAAAAAAAAAAAAAACCAAAAACAAAATCTGACGTGAAGATGATTCTTGACCAGGTTCCACAAATCTTTGAAACATTTAAACTGGAAGCCAACACCGTTGCCAACTCAGGCCTCGTTTGTATTCACACGAGGTCACGGTGCGGCAATATTGGAGCCACTTTGAGTTTCAATCGTTTACTGTGGGGTGATGAGGGTGTGCCGGTGTGGCATGGTATGGTGAGAGAGTTTCAACCGTGCTGCATTCTCGTTGGAACTTTTCGATAGGTAATTGATCTGATTTTATTCATAACACTCATTGATTGGTAACAATAGATTGTCCTCTTGAAAAATGACACGCATATTAAAAATAAGTTTAGGCATTCCATTGTCCTTCATCAGAATTCGATTATTTTTATTTAAAAATTTAATGATATATTTGATGCACAAATTTATAAATAGGATAAAATTAAATTAAATAATATTATTTTATTTTATATTTAATGTATGTAAAGATTAATATATGATAAATTTATTTATTGATTAAAATTATTTTTTAAAATTTTTTTTATATAATTAAAATTATTAATATAATTTTTAAAATATAACTAAATATGTAAATATAATATTATGGATTAAAAATAATCTTCTTAATTTAAAGAATATTAAATCATCTTATATTAAGAAAATAATTAATATTTTTTACAATCCTATTCTTCTATTTAAATATAAATTAAATATGACATAAAATAATTATCATTTGATCCTATCCACCATCTTATATTTCAAATATGACCTAAATATATATTATATGTGAAAAAACTCAAAATATATTTATTTAATATTATTATCTCTTTGAAATGTATTCGTGTATTTGCTTTGTATTAGAATAATCATCATCAAAATAGTAATTAAACTCTATACAACTTAACAAAATAATAAAATATACATATAAATATTTTTCAAATACTCGTTTACAAAAGTATTATTTAATATATAAAAATAATTTTAGTCATTTTAATTATTTATTAATTTTATAAATATCAAACATATACTACAAAGTTCATTATATGCAAATTTTAATGTAATCTTTTTAATAGTTGTTTTTTTCATTATACTTCATCTCATCTCATCATTGTATTTATATTTATTCCAATACATATATTATTATTGATTTTAATCTTATTATTATATCACTAAATTTTACTATTACGATAATTAATCTTATTATCATTATAACTTTTGATTTAATTAAAATTAATCTCATCACTCGTTCAATTAAAATTTCAATCAAATGTATTCGAAAATATTTTGCTCCTGCTTTAGTTGGTAACACATTAGTAGCATATGACTTTTTAAATCACGAGAGATTGATGTGAAAAATGTTTTTCCTTTCTTGAATGGAAATTCAGAATGTTAGCACGCAAGGGATAAAAAAGCATGATAGAAATCTAAATGAAATGCTTTTCTTACATTGTTTATAACAAGAAAAAAAAAATGCATGCCTGTGTTTATCAAGTATAATTATTTTCAATAAAATCATTAATGTTCAATTGATAATAAATTGCATAATCAAGTTCACTGCAATTTCTAAAAAAAAAAAAAAATTTCGTTGAATTGATTATACAACAAATGATTATTATTTCAGAAAAGATTTTTAACAAAAACTTTTAAATGAAGTTGTGAAGTTTTTAACTAAAAAAATTAAACAAACATTAAAATCAATAAATTAAAAAATTTATTACATAAATCAAATTTATAAATTTTGATATATTTTTTAAATAAATATTTGTAATAAAAATTTTGATAAAATTTTTACAGTTAAACAAATATATATCAAATTTAAATTATAAATAATAATTTTATTAATTTTTACATATTATTTATTTTCATATTAAATTTTATTAATATATTACTTTAAATATTTTATTAAAATTGTTATTAATTTATTTTTAAAAAATAAATTCACAAACTTCCTTCAAATAACTTTATTTAAACTTTTTTCCTATTATTTCATATACAGTTAAACATCACAAAAGGAATAAAAAAAGTAACATGCTCAATTTATGATCTTAAATTTAAAATATTATTTTTAATTTGATTCAATGTAAAATTAAATAATTTTGAATTAAGCTAAAATAAGATTTTATCACTGTAATGTAATGCACGCGTTAAAATAGAATGAAATCTTTAATTAGTAAAAAAATAAGAACAAAATTCTATTTTTATCATAAAAATATAATAATTGCAAAATTGTTGTATTTAATAACTAAAAAAAAAAATTTGTAAATAACCGAAATATGGAAGATCACGAGATTTTCTGCTTCCTTCCTGTCTTCTATCCCTTCTTCTCCTTCTCCTTCTCCTTCTACTTCCTTTCTCTTTCTTATTCTTTCCTCTATTATTTTCTCCCTCTTCCTAGCCGAATCGGGGTCCCCGTCTCTCAGCCGCCAGTTGTTGGCATTGCTTCTTCTCACCATCATCAGTCATTAGCTTTTCGATCTCCCTCTTCTTTCCTCTTATTTCCTTAAATGAAATGAGCCTACACCTATAATTCCTGAAGCCTAACTGAAACATATCTTTTTTCTATTGTTGTTCATGTTCAAAATTTTTCTTTTTTTATTGGGTTCCTCTCTAAAACAAGGACTGTGGTTTTTTTTTTTTTTTATTACAGGTAAAATCAGGGTTTTTCTGTTGCCTTTCGGGTTTGAGATTTTCGGCTATTGTGGGCTTTGTGTAGGCCTGGGGGTGGTTTTGGAAAGGATGGCGGAAACTTTTGTGCTTCACGATTGTTGTAGTTTCGATGACGATGATTGCTTTGGTGAAAGGGGTTTCGGGTCGAGGCTAGCTTTGTGTGTTTTGTTGCTTTCACCTGTGGGCAAAAACTGGGTGGCGGCTGTTTCTGGTTACAGGTTACGATTTAGGGATCAGTTTTCGGCTGTGAGAGGAGCTGTGGAGGGATTATATGATTGATGGTCTCATGTAGAGTGGTTATAGTGGTCTAGTTGGAAATGGGCTCGGGTAGAGCGAGAAAAGAAGCAACAAAAGTAGGATTCAAAAGTAGAGACAACTGCAAAAGTTCGGAAAGTGCTTAAAGAACTATTTTTAAGATAGTTTGGTTTTAGGTTTTTTTTTTCCTGAAAATATTTAGCAAATGTTTTTATTGTCTGAAATTTATGAAGGAATTAGCATTTTAATTGATTAAAAATAAATTAACAGTTAATATTAAACTGGTCATTATGGAATTTTATTTTAAACTAATTCAAAAACGTTTAATTTTAAATTGAATTAAATAAAACAAATATTTTTAATTAAAAAAACTCAAATTTTAAATCGAGCATCAAGCCATTAATAAATTGATTTGTGTTTTTTTATTATATTTACTTATTTATTAAAACCTCTGTTAACCACGCCAAACCCAATCAAAATAAAACACGTGTTGCCTGTCATACGTAACAGTTGACGTGTGTAATTCTAAGTGGTGGGTTCTCCAATCTTTAGTCTTACCCGATCATCATCTCCCCATCCGATCCAAGCAATTTTTCCTCCCTGGCTGCTGTCGTGTGAGTACTGCCTGTCTCCGTTTCCTCTAGACATGATAATAAATCAACAATAACAAAAACAAAATAAAAAATAGCAAAAATCAAATTCTTCAATTTCCTCAAATGCGAAGACAGCAACAACAAGAACAATTCCTCTCTATCCAATTTCTATCGATAGAGAGAAATCAAATCTAAATTTTCTAAATTTCTCTTACTTTTTGTTTTGAGAAAAGTCGAGATCGATCAGATCGAAGCTTTTGAGATTGAATTTCGGTATTATTATTTTAAAGGGAGAGGGGAGATTGGAAAAAAAAAAAAAAGAAGGCCAAAAGAGCAGGCAATTTCGCTGAAACATGTCTGCCATAGTTTCAGGGAAGAGATCTTTCTTTGAGGAATTGAGTGCGACACCTCCCGTTTCTAAGAGAATCCGTTGTTCTTCTCGTTTTGCTTCTTCTTCTTCTTTCTCTACTTCTTCTTCTTCTCCTTCTTCGCCGCCCTCCTTGTTTTTGATCGATCAATTGATTTCTATTTTCCCTGAAATGGACAAGCAGGTACGATTTTTTTTTTTTTTTTTTTACCCAAAGAATGTTATTTTTTGTTTAATTTTTAATTTCTGGAAGAGAGAATGAAATGGAAAATTATTATTATTATTATTTTTTTTTCCTTTTTCTATTTTGATTTTAATATTTTAGTTGCTTTATTTCATTAAAATGGAATTTTTGAAGCAATAAATTGTTTGACTTTTATGGTAAAGGAGTTTGGAGTCAGAATTGGAATTTGAGTTAAAATTTGAGATTTATTTTTTTTCTGTGAATTTTCTTAAAAGACGTTTCTATCGTAATAACTTAATAAAATAATATGATTTTAGGTTCTTGGGAGAGCACTTGAAGAATGTGGACAAGATTTGGATTCAGCTATTAGAAGTTTGAATGAGCTTCGTTTAGGATCTGCTGATAGAAATCCTGCTGTTGCTAATAAAACTGGTGTAGAATTAGAAGGAAATGTTCAACTTCAAGCTCAAGGTTTGAATAGAAAATCCTATTACTTCAATGTTGATCACTCAAGATTGATGATATCCCTGACATTTCATGCATCTTTTGGATTAACCAAGATTTTAACTTGGTTCTGCATCTCTCTCTGGATTCAAATGTTGAGATTATTTATTGTGAGACTATATCTTCTTCATGTTTTAACTTTGAGAAGTTCCTAGTCCTTTTTTTTTTTTTTTTTGGTGACTATGAAGCATAGAAACGTTTAGCTTTTTGGGAATAGTTCAGAAGACAAAATGGAAATACGATAACTTGAAATTTTGTTCTTTGATGTAAATTTATGTAACATATTTTAAATAAGTGGTTTGCTTTTGGTGGTGTCCATGACAATGAGAGTGCTGCTAGGATAGTCTAAACTTGAAAAAGGGTAATTTATAATTTGTAATTCACAAAGAAACTCCAAGGCTTGGGGTTGGCTATCATTAGATGTCCCTTCCATGCGCCTTTCGTTTTCACAAAATCAACAAAACAAGTTGCGGAAACCAGAAACTGACAAATATACCATGCAATATGTAAAGCTTTCTTAGCAAATTTGATCTGTGAATGCTGCTATTAATGATACAGTTTATGTTCTTGCTTGCACCTTTTATGTTATTTGGCTAGCCTAATTGTTTCCATGGATGGGATGCAGTTAAAACTAGAATTATAACTAACATATCTTTTACTGAATTACCTTTAAGAATCAATTGTTGGTCAGCGAGAAGAGCATTGTTCTGTTGTAGGTGTAGCAGCTAATGGAGATGTCCCAGCGAAGGAACAGACAACCCCAGAAGTTTTCTCAATGGATGGTTCGGATTGGGTGGAACTTTTTGTTAGAGAAATGTTGAATGCTTCTAACATTGATGATGCCAGAGCTCGTGCTTCAAGAGCACTGGAGGTTTTGGAGAAGTCCATTCATGCACGTGCTGGGGCAGAGGTAGCCCAAAATTTTCACCAGGTTGGTTATCATGGTTGTTACAGTTGCTAATAGTTATCTCCTCTCTGATCCCTGCCACATGCCCCGTCCAAACTTTTTGTTGGGTTACAAAAGGGAAAACAAGGAAGGGGTTTTTTCTGAGGATGCTGAAATTGCTACTTGGTTGTTATAGGAAAATATGATGCTGAAAGACCAATTGGAAGCACTTATTCAGGAAAATACTATTCTGAAGCGAGCTGTGGCTGTTCAGCATGAGCGTCAGAAAGAGTATGAAAATCAGAGTAAGGAGTTGCAGCATCTGAAGCAACTAGTTTCTCAGTATCAGGAGCAGTTGAGAACCCTTGAGGTTGGCCTCATGAACTTAACTTTTGATTCACACGGGAACACATGCACAGTCCGCTCATATGCATGTATAATCTATGTGACTACTCTGATCTTTTTTTACTGCTATGCGATTAAGTGCACTGCTTTGCGATCTTATTTTTATTGCTACACGATTAAGTGCATTGCTTTTGGTATTCTGATGAAAATTGTTGGATCATCTGATGTCCTAACAGGTAAACAACTATGCATTGACAATGCACTTGAAGCAAGCTCAGCAAAGTAGCTCTATCCCTGGCCGTTTCAACCCTGATGTTTTCTAGTAATTCTTGGATATGGCTTTGCAGATGACTTGTGTGCAACTGTGCTTGAATCCTGGCAAAAGTGTTCCTAACAAGCTTTAGCCAACTAAATTTTGTAATCTGCTTCAATTGCTGTGCTGCCACCAGATGGTGTATTTTTTTTTTCTCTTTTTTACAGAAGGGTAGGCTGCAGTCGAAAGATATGCCTCGATTATTTCAAGAAATAAATGCATGGTAGTTTGTCTTTCCAATTATCTACTTGAAGTGGATATTTGATAGTAACAAATGTTGGTAGGCTTTGCATCCACCGAAATGAACCTTTTATCCACATATATGCTATAGAAGAAGATAGATCTTAAAAGTCTGCATTTTATCCTCATGACCAAGCTAATGCTATTGAGCCACAAAAATGGTGCCTTCGTGCAATTACTTGGAAAGTAAGTTTTCCTATTGCCGTTAAAAAGAAGGGAGAACAGAAAAGTAGCTTTGCTTCTAGCTTGCCATCATATGCCTTTAGGTTGCTTTGACTCGATAGTCGATATCACACTGGCAATATAATGATGAATGACTTGTGTGGCACAGACCTGTCTTTCAAGACACGCGAGGTCCTTATTCGCCCTGTCCACTAACGCTGCCTTGCTTTCATCATGAACAGTTTCTTTGTTCCGCCAGCCGTTGCCTTGGATATTCTCATTGACTATAAATTTTCTCCGATGCCACCGAGCTCTGACATGATTAGAGGTGGCATAATGGGGCGGGCAACCTGAGGTACGACACTACCCAGTTTGTTATGGGACGGGTTAGCACAATCTATTTTATTACAATAATCGTGCTGAATCAAGTCCAACTCTCAAACCCAACTCTTTTAGTCATATCGTGTTGGGTAGAGTATTTCGAAGCTTATGGGCTCGCACGGCACAAGCTTATGATTGGTCAAGGATTGAATAACAACATAGGCTCAGTGTTATGAGCCAACTTTATATAAGGTCATAATCGAATATAAGATGTCATGAGCTACCTTTATATAGGCTTGTGACCAAGTAAAGTTGCTAAGGGAGAAGGTAGATTTTATATGTTATAAAAAAAGTGTTTTCATTTCAAATATTGTAATGGTTCTTAGTAGTATAAGTATAAAATCTCTTAAGCTTTTTAGAGAAGATGAGTATTTAACGTGTTATTTAGTTGTCTCATTGACTAAAGTATGTGCTAGATCACTTATTTAGGGTCGTTCTTCTAACCTCGACGATAGTGGGAAGACTCAATATTCTTTTTATACTTGTTATACTATTCTCGATATTAATAAAACTCTTTTTTCTTTCGGAGGCATAAAGGGTTTCTTGGTGTGCACTTATTATGCCTCGATATATCATTGTGTACTAGTGGGATTAACTTGTGGCTTGTTGGTTAATTCAGATATTGAGCTATTTTTGGTTAACTTGTATAGAAGCATCAATCTAAGTGTCATAAGGTCTATTGCTTCATCGAGAGAAAGCTTAATTTGTGACATGTGATATTAGAGCATGATTGAGAAGTGTTAGAGAATTGATAAAATTGCTATGAATGGTGGATTTGATGACTGCAAGAGGATTGAGGAGCTTGAAACTATGGTAGCTGCCTTAAAATCTCACATGATAACCCATGATCAACTGAGAGAGATCAAAATAGCTTAGCTAAAGCTGTCTAATACTCTAAATAACTTGGGTGATATGATTAGACAAGAGATGCCATGAGCATTTTCTAAAAAGAGTTTGAGAAGCTCAGGGTCGAAGTGAGTGTGCTGCAAATAGCTGTGGCTAGATCGAGTTCTAACTCAATGGATAAAAGAAAGAGGGCCAATGTGTCAAAGTTATGATGTTATAAGAGGGTAAGAGATTCCAAAAAGCTTGAGAATTTTTTGTTTAATATAAATAATACTTTCAAGCTATGCACACAAAATCAAAGAAGGATGAGGTTGTAATAGCTTCAATGCACCTTACTGGGGATGCTAAGCTGTGGTAGTGTTCAAAATTATGAATGATGAATGCCTTATTAAAACTAGGGCCAATTTTAAGTAATAGTTGAAAAACTAATTCTTTCCTAAGAATGTGAAGTACATGGCCTAAAGGAAACTTCAAGAATTGGTGTAAATGGGAATGGTGCAAGAGTTTGTGAGGAGCTTTTCTATCCTAATTTTAGATATTAGAGACATGTCTAAAAAAGATAAGATGTTCTATTTTCTTAAGTGCCTCAAACTTTGGGTGAAAATGAAACTATAAAGGTTAAAGGTACAAAATGTAGCCACCATCATGGTTACCCTCGAACGTCTAAATGATTACAATGATGGCCTATCGAAACGAAAGAGCCCTCCATTGGTGGCAATAACTTCAATTTTGGGAATGGGAGAAAAATGGCCTAGTTTGATAGACCATTAAGTGGTGGAATATATAAAAGGCATTCTAGTAGAAACACCCCATAAACCAAAATAAATAATACATCAAACTTTAAGCTTAAACAACCATTGGCTTACTTTTTATGTCAAGGATCACAACATGTGGCCGAATGTCCATACGAGGTGCCCTTAATGCTTTAAAAATCTCTTCTTAAAATTTTTTCCATGCATCCCAAATTATCAAAGAAGTCGAGAAAGAGCCTATAAGGATGGGTTCCATAAGATTTCTCAATGCCTTATGTCATAATGTCTAGATCTGAAGATCTATCGCTACACATTGACTTTAAGAGAGTCGCCACCAATTTTTTTTATCAGGATACGATTGACCATCTTAGGAATCTGTCCTTCCAGGGAACACCTAAATTTAAGAGTCCCTAAAAGAATAGGTTCAAGTTTACTAACCAGAACAAGGTTCGGGAGTTCGGTTATGTGTGAGAAAGGTTATAGCACCCTTACAACGCCCATCAAAAGATGGTACCAGCTTAAATTTGTGTTATCCAATGAGCCTTAAAATTTTACCAAGTAATTAATTATTGAAAATTATTCTCAATTGATTCTAATACTTTTAGCAAAAAATTGAAAAAATTTCCTCACCTCAAGAGTATGCAAGAAAACTACTATTTCACTTGCAGAGGCTCCATCGTCGGATTATTTGACATTAAGGAAAATTTAAAAAAAAATGATTGCCTTTTGTGTAGGAAAAATTGATACTTTCAACTTTTTCCCAAAAATTTTTTTTTTGAAAATTTATTTTTAAGGAAAATTGATACTTTCAACTTTTCCTCAAAAATATTTTTTGAAAACTTTGATTTTTAAGAAAAATTGATATTTTCAACTTTTCTCCAAAAATATTTTTTTGAAAAATTTTGACTTTCAAGGAAAATTGATATTTTTAACTTTTTTTCAAAAATATTTTTTGGAAATTTATTTTTAAGGAAAATTGATACTTTCAACTTTTCCTCAAAAATATATTTTTTTATTTTTATTTAAAGAAAATAGAATAATGAAACAAAATAAAAGTGAAAATAAAAAAATTAAAATAAAAAAAAGTAAAATAAAAATAAAAAATAAAATAAAGGTAAAAAGAATACTAAATAAACCTAATCTAATAAATAAAAAAAATAAATAAAAAAACAAATAATAAATAAAATAAAAAAATTTAAAAAAAAAACCTGGAGCGGCTCGGAGGGTGGCTCGGCTCGGCTCAAGGAAGAGAAAATGGTTCGAAGAATCGGCTTAGGACCTTAGCTCGGCTCGGCTATCGGCTCGGAGGGGGGAACACGCACGGGTCAGAAAAGCGGGTCGACGCTCGGGTCGGATCGGATCTCGACAAAACGCGTGGATCCTTTAGGTCACTTTACGCAAAAACGATATCGTTTTGGGATGGTATATAAGGCTCTTCCCTCTGTTTTTTGACAGAAAGCTCCTCCTCTCTCTCTTTTTTTCTTTTTTCCTCTCATTTCTTTCTAAACAGTCGAAGAATTTCGGTTGAATGTTCACCGAATTCTAAAAAATTTCACCGGAATCTTGGATTTTTCGTCAAAAGTTCATCAAAAATTGGTCGATTTCTGGGATCCTTCACCGAAAACTAGGCAGCTCGTCGAAAACTTCAAAGTTGGCCTGAATTTTCATCGAAAAATACAAATTTCACCAGAAAATTCAACCGAAATCTGGAATTTTCTAAAAATTCCCAGAAAAAAATCGCTAAAAATCTTCAAAAAATTTATGCTAATTCCCAAAACACCTCTAAACCTTTTCCTAGCTTGCTATACGCCCATTTTCTCTCAATCAATAGTTTTTGCTTACTGTTTTTTTGTGTATCCTGTTCTGTTCCAAAGGGTCCTTTTTATATGGATTGATCAGGAGTTTCTGATCAATCCCAATTCCTTTTTGAACGGGGATTCAATCTTTGAATCCAATCTGGACTCTTCTGATTGAATCATAATCCAATCTCCAGCCAAGTAAATAAAAAAAAAATATAAAAAATACGAAAAATATAAAAAATCAAAAGAAAATAAATAAGATAAATCAAGAAAAATAACAGATAATTAAAATTAAATAACAGATAATACATAATCTGATATACATAAATATTAACAAAAAAAAGAAAAAAAAACAATAATAAAGATATCTACATATTAATAAATACATAAATACCTAAAATATATATAATAATAAAAATAAAAATAGAAATAAAATAAAATAAAAATGTAAAATACAATAAAAATAAAAATAAAATAAAGAAAAAAAAATGGACTTACCCATTTGGACCAGGCCCAATTGATTCAGGCCTGGACCAAATTGGGTGTCTACAGCTATCCCTTTTTGCACATTTTCTGTGAAACAGAAATTGCGCAAAGACGTAGACACCCAATTAAGACTCAGCTCGACCTTTTTACTTTGTTGTTTTTTTTTTATTTTTGATCAAAGCTCTTCTAAACAGAGGCTCAACGACTTTGAAAAGTAAATGGCTCCTCTAACCAGAGGCTCACGACTTTGGAAAAATAAATTGCTCATCTAAACAGAGGCACCACGACTTTAGAATGTAAAATGCTCCTCTAAACAGAGGCACCACGACTTTGGGAAAGTAAATTGCTCCTCTAAACAGAGGCACCACGACTTTAGAAAGTAAAATGCTCCTCTAAACAGAGGTATCACGACTTTGGAAAGTAAATTGCTCCTCTAAACAGAGGCACCACGACTTTGAGAAAGTAAATTGCTCCTCTAAACAGAAGCACCACGACTTTGAAAAGTAAAATGCTCCTCTAAACAGAGGTACCGCGACTTTGAAAAGTAAAATGCTCCTCTAAACAGAGGCACCACAACTTTGAAAAGTAAATTGCTCCTCTAAATAGAGGCACCATGACTTTGAAAAAGTAAATTACTCCTCTAAACAGAGGCACCACGACTTTGGAAAAGTAAATTGCTCCTTGACAATCATGTCCAAAGGAGTTGAAAATTGTATTTAAAGGAATTTCAGGAGATTATGCCCAAAGGTCTTATAAATCAACCCTGATACCAAAAGATATCCTATTTCAAGGATTAGGAACTTACCTGACAAGTTTTTTCTCAAATTTATAAAATATCTTCATATCTGTCTTCTCTATGTGGGATCTTGGAATACCCATGCTTCTTGCACTATATTTTCTTGAAAGTAGTGTATGCTATGCAATGCATATGAATTTCAATGCATGCTATGCAAATGTTGACTAATTAATTCCTATTCAATGTATGGTACTCAAGTTTCTCAAGCTTTTTTTGGGCATCAAGCCTTTTGATTCTTCAAAGATTCAATTACACTGCTCTTCTAAGATCGAACTAGTGTAGCTCTCGATTGTCTTTTCCACTCACATTCTTCCTTGTTCAGTTTTTCAATACTTTGGAATAAGCTTCATCAATCGATCATCACTTGACCATTATTCAATGAATTTCTTAGCACTAACAAATTTCAAAATAAGTTTCATCCACCATCACTGGGTCATTACTCATAGGTGTCTCAGCATTAACC